AAATATTTATCATGTGCTATTTTCTCCTCTCTTTCTTTGTCTCTAAAGCAGTAATTTGTGGGTTTGGGAGGGTTGCCTTCAAATCAGCCTTGATTCTTTTCTTGACAAATGGTTTGCCATGACCTTCTTCCTAGGGCTGAGAGAGAGAATGGCTCAATGTCACATAGCTGGCTTTGTGTGTAAAGCAGGATTCGTGTTCTCCCAGTTTTTAGCCTGGAGCCTTAGCCACTGCACTAAACTGGTTCTCTTGATCAGCAACATCTAATCTGAAAGTAGTAAAATTAATCTATTTTTAAAACCCGTGTATTTTTAATACCATGAATTGATGAAAGGAGAACATCAGTAGGTAGCTTGCATAATAGCCTCTATGTTAATTTGCATAAAACGTGAAAATGTCGTAGGCAAAACTGTGTATTAGTTGCTTGCAAAGTTCTGTCCAAAATGTGTCAAAATTTACTAGTATTGTTACTATGAGCAGGGAATGCTACATATGGCTTAGCTATAATTAAGATGATAGTTTAATATCAGTTTCTCTATATTATTAAAAGTATTATATGAAAGCCTTATAGATCAAAGCCATGATGGATAGTGGAGACAAATATCTTTGGACTGGTATGGTGATAACCATGGCATATGCAGGAGAAGCAAATGACTTGAGTTGTATTTTTTTCTTTTTACTCTGCTTGTAAAGGGTTCCTTTAGTTGACTTTGGCTGCAAAAAAAAAATGAACTTAAACATGTTTTGCATATCTATGGAACTAAAAGAAAAGATCTGATATAATAGAACTCAGTTTGTGCAATTGACAGATACATACAGAGAAACATGATGTAAATGGTCTGAGCAGAAGTTCTTTCATATGTAAACATAAATCAGTTCACATGTAAAATTGTTAGTTGTGCTTATGATGAAAAATTAAGAGGATTGGTGAAGGATGCTTGGGTGATGAGGTGCTTTGATTCACTTTGGTAGTGTCAAGAGTGAATCTTGGGGAAAAAATGGACATGGAGGAAGAGGAAAAGAAGTAAAAGAAATGAGAGAGGAAGAACAACTACTGCAGGAGGAGTAAAATCCTATATGAATAAGTATTAGAAGATAAATTAATCTCCAGACAATGATTGAAAAGTGGATGCGAGGAAAGACGATGAAATAAAATGAAAAGAATTATATCACAAGGTGCCACTGAAGTTCATGGAGAAGTATGAATAGGTAATATTGAAAAAAAGGGTGCTTGGTGGAATGGCGAACCTCTGTAAGGGGTAATGTATAACATATAAGCAAATATTTGCAGCAAAAATTAGGAAGAGTTGAAAGACTATAGGAAAATAGTTGTAAAAATATACTCAGAGAGGAAGTTGTATTCATCTCCCTTATTCCACTGAAGATACCATACATGTATTTCCCTAAATTGCTGATCTTATAAAAATGTGGCTTTTTGTAAGGCAAGGACATTTGTCAAGTACATAAAACTGCTTCTAGTATAAGCATGTTGCTACCTTCTTTGTTGTATGGAATAGGGAGTTGAGTTTGTCTAGAGAAATATCAAAATAAGCTGAATGTGGTCAGAATGGAATGCTTCAGAAGTGGGATATAGAACAGGAGAGGGAAGTGGCCTTGCAGTTGTAGGAAAATAAGATGCTGATTCCAAAACACCTTGTGACATTCAGTTGGTGCCTGGATTCAATCATGCATTCTATGTATTTCTTTCTTGTCACTCACTTTTGTATTCAGTGTGCATCTGTTCATTCTGCATACTTCAGCATCTGAGAGGTGGAACATTGTGAAAAGAAATAGTGAATTAAATGCTATTGCTGTATTTTGCTATGGGTTTTTTTTTTCTAGAAATGCCTTTAATTTCTATCGCTTGCTATTTCTTAATCCCATTCTGTGCTTGCTAACACTGCATACCTTAGAAGGGAATAGTGTGATGGGTATGGGTTTTTTTTTGAGAGTTGTTGCTTTTGTCCACTGCATACATTTAAATATTTAAATTTAAATATTTAAATTGAGGTCACAAACAAGAATTGTTGTGAAATAAAAGACTTCAGTGTATTCGACGTGTCTGAGAAATAGCTGATAGCTCAGCCCCCCATGTTTACCAATTAAAATGGATGAGAATTCAGTTAGAGTAATATAATCCATTATTATATGACACATTCCTCTTTTACAATGGGTGAGAGGGAATAAATCTTTGCTTCAAAAATGTACTGAGTTTTCTAATACAATGCACTATTTTTCCATTGTTATTTGATATACAGATCTGAGGGCCACTTGTGTTTACCTGTACGATATACACACTCATTTCCAGATGCTTTGCAGAAACTTTATACTGGTGAATTCAGGTAATATGAACTTAACTCCTTAGATAATTTTGTCTTTAAAAATATTTTTAGGTTTTAAACAAACATTGTCTAAGTATAATTGACATGTATTGGGGATAAAACCTAATGATTATTTTTTCCCATCATACATTAATGAAGTATATGAATCACTGAATGCAAAACAATGCTTAATTTTCACATACAGGTATTTTGAAGTCAGTTTTAAATGAACTCAAAATATTGTCAAGAGATGGGCAAGAACTATGATATGATTAATATAACTTGGTAGAAATCAGTGTAATCCAACAGTGTAAATAAACTCAATTAATTATGAAACTCACTATTTTTAAATAGAGAGTAGTAACAGTATCAGCATTAAAAACAAGGCCACTGAGAGATAAAAGGGTGCTAATCTGATGAAATCATGACAGGGTTGCAGAAATACCAAATAAAATGGACAAAGGTCTAATGGGATACACATACCTCTTCTTACAACAGCCAGAAGAAGCTGAATGTACTCAGTGGATACAACATGCTGAAAGTCTGACAGAGTGGGAAAAATGGTGGGAGGAATGGGCTTGGCTGGAATCTTCAGTAGGAACAATTCAGGTAGTTATGTTAAGACAGGCTTTAATTATGAATAAAGTTGAAAATAATGGTGAATCCTTCCTTCCCTTCCCTATTTCACATGGCAGCACCCATCACATTTTCCTACATGTAGTGCAAATCACATAGGTTCTGAAATGGAGAATTGGTTAGAAAACACTTTTCCCCCACACTATGGCGCAGTGGTTACAGTGCAGTACTGCAAGCTACTTCTGCTGCAGCCAGCTGCCTACAATTTGGCAGTTCAAATCCCACCAGGTTCAAGGTTGACTCAGCCTTCCATCCTTCTGAGTTAGGTAAAATGAGGACCCAAATTGTTGGAGGCAATATGCTGACTCTGTAAACCGCTTAGAGAGGGCTGTAAAGCACTGGGAAGCAGGATATAAGTCTAGGTGCTATTGTTATTTTGAAAAGTATGATGTGAGAAGGCTCTATAAATGTTAGAAGAAAATGGAATAATCAGAGTAGCCTTTTTAAAAAAAAAGATATGTATATGTTTGGTTAAGCTGATCACACGCTATAGTTCAATTAGAAATTTAATTCTGTTAATAAGATAATAAATTTCTGATCATTGTGTACAATGATTATCAAATCTACTAGTTATTCTTCAATAGCTGGTATACTACCATTCTGCTTAATATTTGTTAGATAGGCTAACCAGTATTTTAAAAATAATTAAAGTAAATAAGGAATTGGTTATTTTATATTTTGGTGACATGCCTACAGATTATCTTCTAAATATTGTATACATATGTGACCATGAATCTGGCAAAAATAATGAATTAAACAAGTCATAATTTGATTGTAATAGGAATATAATTATTAATTTTATTAAGAGGAATATTAAAGCAACAATTGCATTTTTCTTTTCCTTAAATAGATTGTATAATATTTAGATTGATTGGTTTCACACTAAATCATCTTGTATTGTTCTGAAAATTCATCTCTTCCAACATCAGAAAACCAGAAAAAGAACATTTTGTCTTTGGGATACTTGAAGTTAAATTGCCCTAGAACTTTCAGAAATTATTTAATAATTTAGATTGTGAATAAGAGTATGAATTTCATTCCCATCAAATAAATTTCTTTGTGAGTTAAGTAATGTTTATATGAAATAGTTAATATTTTTCTGAATGCTGTATGGGTCAGTTGTAGTGGTGATTCATGAAAAAAATTGTCAGCTGTTTTAGTTGCTTTACTTTTTGTGTTATCCCTCATCTTTAAAGATGGCAATGGAGGCAACGAATCCGGTTGTACCTTGAAGGAACTGGTGTTAATCCAGTCCCTGTAGATTTACATGAACAGCAACTGAGTCAAGAACAGCACAGCAGGGCCCATGTTAATGGAAGATTTCAGGATCAAAGTGAGTACTGTTTTTCTCCAGAAATGTATTCATCTCTGATTGATGATAGTACCCAATCTTAAACTGTCATCTTCAGCTCTTAATTTACCATCTCAACGGAGTAGGAGAACATATTCAGAATAGAAATAATCAAATGCTTCTATTAAGTGCAGAGCTCCTATGAACAGATGCAGTCAGGTTTGTATAAAATGAATGCTTTGTATCAAGTCTGAAAATAAAGATCATCTTAATTTTAGTTCAGAGACATTTTCATGTTTGAGTGTGTTTTTAGAGACATCTGCTTGGCCTATATTTCACCCATGTAATTTGCCCATGATTGCAGGATCTCAGATTTCTGAACCACACCTCTTGCCTGTAAGATCGTTAAATGAAGTCTTTATTGGAGAGTCTCTCTCATCCAGGTATGCTAAACATCTACTTGCAAGCATTACTGTTTGGCATAGCCTGTAAACCTTTATTTGTATTAAAACATTTCCAAACTACCTTGATTCATAGTCTCTTCAATCAATCTTTATATTCTTTTGCTTTCTTACTGATTAATCTGTTGAATTGCATTCATACTTGATTACTGAATCCAAATAATAATATTTTGCTTCTGAAGCCTGTGAGCAAGCAATTAAGTGCTATATTTTTCAAGAAGTCTTACATATTCATTTTATTGTGAGTTGTTGAAAGAAAAATCATTAGCTGGTCTTTAATGTGTCTAATTTTCACCTTGCTTGTTATGTCTTGGTATTGGATTTTTGATTTTTGTTCTCACTGTTCCACTGGGCTATGTTAGCTATGTAAAAATTGCCTTTTCTAGCATTGTCTAATAGAACTTCATATTGAAGTAAAAATAAATAAGGGACAAGGGGATTTCTCTCACTTGTGGCTTGAATTCAGAATTTCATTTTGAATTTTAATGACAGTAGGGACAATTATGTAGAAGGGAAACTAGTATGTGTTTCTGTTGTGTTCAATACTAGTAGATTCCTGCTAATTGTAAACAAAATTACCAGAAAATTCTAAAAGGCTTTCAAAATGGCTTGCTTTTGTACTAACAACATGCTGGAGTTTTGAAAACTGATTTAAAAAAACCCTATCCATCAAAAATAAATCTTTATTCTTTAAAACCTACTTTTTAAAACTGCTGCATACAAATTAATAATAAAATTTTCAGCCATGTTTGAAATTAGCCTTTTTAGACTGGTACATGCCTGATGTCGGGCTGTGTTCTGTCTTATTCAGGGTGAACTATAAGTCCTGCAAACCCAGTTTTAAATTCTCCCTTCGTAGGGCTTCTTATTATGAAATATCAGTAGATGATGGTCCATGGGAGAAACAAAAGAGCTCAGGTCTCAATATATGCACTGGAACAGGATCAAAAGCTTGGTAAGTTTGCTGTGCTTCTGTCCTATCACTTAATCTGTGGAAATCTTCCAAAAGGAATAATATATAGCACCTTTATTTTGATACAACATGCTATACCGCTGTTATAAGAAGTAAGTTGTAGAGGGTTTATATTTACTGCGTTATTTTAAGCCTTACCTATTTTATATGTCACCCTGGGTATGTATTTGAAAAAAAATATTTGGAAAAAAATGTTGAATGTATTTTAATGTTTGGGACTTCTTTTCTGAGAAACATTCATTTAAGGTGATTTCAAACAAATGTACTAAGGCAGTGGTTCCCAAAGTGGGCGGTACTTCCCCCTGGGGGGGGCGGTGGGATGTCTTAGGGAGGTGCTAAGAGGCAAGGGGGCTGGCAGGAGGGCGCTAAGAGGCAAGGGGGGCACTGGAGGTGGGCTTCTCGTAGGACGCAATTCAGGGGTGGGATTCTACTGTCTCATTACTGTTCCCAGTAGTTTCGGAGAACCGATAAAACGGGCCCCTGGCTGGCCCTGTTCCTCTCTGCCCGCTCCTCTGTTCCCTGCCCAGTCAATCCTTATTGCACATGTGTGACATCGCGTGCATGCGTGACAATTGCTGACGGCCACAGCAGTGCGTTAGAGAAGCGGAGCAAGCAAAGCCAGAGGTTGGTAATTTTTGCTGCAAAAAGCATCCAGACACACAGCAGCTGCAGGTTTTTTGCAACAAAAATTACTGACCTCTGGCTTTGCTCTGCTTCTCCAACGCGTCACTGCAGCCACATTCTAGGTGCTGGCCATTCAGGTTCACCCCATTCATTGCTGCACCACTCTGTTCAGACTTGCTTGGGCAAGTCCCTCCGGTGCAGCAGGCTCAATGGGGTGGACCTGCGGCACACCCACCCAGTCACATGACCACCAAACCATGCTCCTAAATTAGGCTACACCCACAGAACCAGTTGTTAAGAAATTTGAATCCCACCCCTGGGTGGGGGGCACTGAGGATGAGTTTCTAGCACCAAGGGGGCGGTGGACTGAAAAAGTTTGGGAACCACTGTACTAAGGCATTGGACTAGGAACTAGTTTAACCACTACATCAAATTGCCTCCTTTTATATATTTTAAAATAATTTATATCAGATGATAAGAAAATAGATAATCAAAGGCTTTCAGGGGGAAACTTCCCCTCATTTTTACATGTTTCTGGAAGGCTACAAGCTTGAACATCTTAAAATATAAATTGGTTGGGATAAAACATTTTTTACAAATCAGTAAAAATTAAAATCCTTATAAATTTTTGAATAGGAATGGCATAGTTATTGTACATCCTTCATGTTACTGTCTCTGAATAAATAGTATTAAATGGTTAGCCTTTGGTATTGAAAAGACTTTTGCATTTGTCAACAGCACAGATGGCTTACCTTCAGTTATAGAAGCCTTTGGAAATTTTTTCAATATTTAAAAAAAAGGTTTGGGATGCATTGCAGCAAGCTTTTATGATACAGATACATAGAATATTATTATTCAGAAAATAAAAATAACTCTAACAATTGCATATGCTATGTGTGAGAATCATTGGATTGTTATTTTTTTATCACAAATTTCTATCTACTAAACATTTTAATACTCGTAAAATACATACATTACTATCCTTACAAAATATTATGATTTTAGAATTCAAGTGAATGTTTGTTTTCTAGAACACATTCTGTAAGCACTCAAAAATAGACATAATTTCTCTAATCTGCCGGGTTACTTGACTGAAATTCTACTACTCCCTCAATTTTTCTAGATAAAGAGTTAAGCATGCTTAATATTATCCCAAGAAATGCTTATAATTTTAACATTGGATAATTTTCTAATGTTTAGGTAGCCTTTAAATGAAAAACTTTGTTGAATGGTTGAACAATGTTGTGGGTTTTGGGAATTTCTGTTTTATTTAAACTGCTGTTAAACTTTATTAGCCCACATTTTTTATTATTATTTTTTTCTTCAGCTTCCAAGTCAAACAATAGTAATGAATATTAATTAATTAAAATAATAAAAAATTCTAGAGGTATGGACGAAGGCTTCCGAGCTAGAGTTGATCTAGGTATTATTTTTAATTCTCTTTTAGGTCTTTTAATATCAACAAAATAGCAAATCAGGCTGTGGAAGAAATTCTTAAGATTGGTGAGTTCCTAATGACATGCTCATCACTGAAAACGAAGTAAAGAATTGTTTGGCGTATTGTCTAATTTAATCTGAACTTAAAATAGCCTAAAAGTACATTGTCTTTCTTCAGAGGCTAAATATTTATCACTTATACATCAATAACAGCACTTTGAAATACTACTAGAATGATATAAAAGTTACATCGCTGTTAAAACTGTGCTTATATTGTAGGTCTAATTTCTGCAACAGGGAAAATAAGTTGAAGAAGAATACTTATAAGACTTGAAAAGCTTTTAAATAACTGTACATGGCTTTAGAAAATAAAATCTGTATTTTATTATATTTTTTGTTCAACGAAACCAAATCGTTTTTGCTTAACAAATAATCTTGAATCAGAATAAAGGATGCATTTTGGGAAACTGCCCTTAAATTTATCAGGGATGGGGAATCTATCGCTTTCCTATTTTCCTATATATAACAGACATACATATTAGATGAGATTATCCTGTAAAAGTGGCAATATATATTGTATATATTTCTCTTATTGTTTGGTCAGGTGCTGGTCAGAAATAGAAGTCTTTTAGAATTTTATTTCTTATTTTTGTAAGAGTGAGTATTGTTCTTTGTAACATGTTGTCTAGCAAATGCAAAATATAATTTTCTATAACAAATAATTTTCTTTTGGTTTAATAGCTAAAAGTTATGAGAATTTGAAGCTTCCATTGAACAAGGAACTAATACAGAAAGGTGAGGCCTATTTTTAGCATGTTTAATCATTGTGGTTTACCAATTTGTTTTCTTCTTCAATTTTGCTCAGGATTTCAGAGTTCAAGGGTGGTATTCAGCAGGTTCTGACCAGTTCTGGAGAACCTGTAGAGGAAATTTTAAGTAGTTCAGAGAACCGGAAAATACCACCTCTGACTGGAGATTTTACAGCATCCTTCCCCTGCCACGCCCACCAAGCCACGCCCACAGAACTGGTAGTAAAAAAAATGGAATCCCACCACTGTCAGAGTTACGGAAATAATCAACATTATTTTATGCATTTAACTTGCAAGCATTAATATAATACATTAATTTAAAGGTTTTTACATCTGTAAGTAAAAATGGGGGCAGTGCTGGGCTTCAAGATGGCAGCCAGCAGCCCAGATTCAAAACCCGAGTGCCACGTAATGGGATGAGCTTCTGTTCTCGCTCCAGCTCCTGCCAACCTAGCAGTTCAGAAGCATAGTACAGTGGAAAGGTAACAGCATTCCATGATCTGATGCTGGCCACATGACCACAGAAATGTTTTCGGACAGCACTGGCTCAGTGGCCTTGAAACAAACAAGCACCATCCTCTATAGTCAGCAATGACTAGCAAATTAAAATCTGCAGGGACTCCTTTTTACATCTGTATATATAAATAAAATAAAGTGTATGTAGTTCAAGTGCTTCTTCAAATATGTCATATTTCCAAAATATCTGATGAGATAGGCTAACACAGGACTGTCAAACTCACTTTGTCATGGTGGCGTCATGTGACGTATCGGGACTTTTGCCCACTTTGCTAAACTGGGTGTGGGCATGGCCAGCGTGTGACATATGGGCCTGGAGTTTGACAGCCCTGGACTAACATAACATTTAGTAACTTACAAAATAACAGATTTAAGCAAGTTAATTTCCACAATATTTTAAGAATCTCCACAAGCTTTCTACAGTTTTTCTGTGTTACATAATATCAGAAAAAAATATAAAAAAAATGATTTGGGCACTAACTCTTACTGTTCTACTTAAAGAACCTGATTGATTGTCTTCTGCTTTTTCAGTCACAAATGGATATAATGAATCACTGCTCTATAGTCCAGAGGAACCTAGGTTGTTTTTTAGTGTACGAGAACCCATTTCAAACCGTGTTTTTTCAAGTAGTCGGCAACGAGGCTTTGCTTCAAAGTAAGTATTAATAGTAAGTGTTTATCTAACCATAATTTGAGCAACAGCTATTTTAGATTCAGATCTGGAAGGAATTGCTTTCAGTTGATCTCTAGGTCCCTGAATACAATGTAGAAATCTGAATTCTATTTTGGAAATCCAAAGCTGATTGTCTTTATTAACTATTAGTTAAAATCACTAAGGCAGGGTAGTAATTCTGACCAATACCAAAACAATTTTTGAGTTTACATGAGTGTAAATATAGCACCTGTTTGCAACTTTTTAAAATAAAGCAGATACATCTTTTATTGGATCATGTGGAGCTGCAGGAGGAAGCTATACAAACCATGGAAAAGACTTAGCTGCTTTAAAAAGTTTATATGCTACATTTGTTCTCTTGTGCCCATTGATGCCACTTTTGGGACTGAATGCAAAGTGTCATCCAGCAAATTCTTACCACTTTATAATATAAGGATATAGGAAATTTGCAGACATTGTAGCCCTTCATAAAGGACATTTTTTAATCAAAAGGACAATATATTTGACTTAAATGAAAGCAAACAAAAAATGCATCAAAGGTTATTTCTTCCAGTGGAAGCAAAACTAATAGCAGTTATAGTTTTTGAAAAAGTATGTCCTTTAAAATGATGATGGGTTTTGTAAAAATAGTATTATAATGTTAGTCAATTAAGTATTTCTTTTCAGTTTACAGGAAAAAGCATGAAAAATTTCATGCTTGTTTCCCCAAAGCTACCTTTGCAATGATATAAGGTTCCATTTGTGATTAATGTTTCATGAAGATACCCACTGAAAATGATATGTACAGTTCTTTCTCCTACCATAGTTTGGAAAAACATAATTAAATGTGTTATTTCAGCAGAATGGGTGAAAGGGCACTCTGAAGAAATTTTTTTCTTATTTTTGTAATACAATAGGTATTTTGAAATCTTCCCTCAAGAATGTCTCTCAACCTGAATCTTTTCTTAGGCATTCCTATCTGTAACAAAACCAGAAGTTCAGTAGACTTTCCATTACTGGTAGTCCTCGGCTTATGACCACAATTTCTGTTGCTAAGCAAGACTTTTAAAGTGATCTTTGCCCCATTTTACGACCTTTCTTGCCACAGTTGATAAGTGAATCATTACAGTTGTTAAATTAGTAACACAGTTAAGTGAATCTGGCTTCCCCCATTGACTTTGCTTGTCAAAGCTTGCAAAAGGTGATCTCATAACCCTGAGACACTGCAGCCATCATAAATATTAGTCAGTTGCCAAGCCTTGAATTTTGATCATGTGACCATGGGGATATTGCAACCGTTATAAGTATGAAAAATGATCATAAGTAACTGTTTTCATTGATGCTGTAACTTCAAATGGTTATGAAATTAACTATTGTAAGTCGAGGATTATCTATAGTTTAGCAACATCATTCCACCACCACCACCAGATTAAATGACCACATTATTTCATCTTAACATCTTATCAAATATGTGTTGCTTCTATATTATATGCATTTGAAATTATTCACTTGATAGTTTGTCAGAAATATTTTTCTTTAATGTATTTTCAGAGTTTGCATTCGTTCTCGTTGTTGGGATGCCTGTATGGTAGTAGATGGAGGAACTTCATTTGAATTTAATGATGGAGCAATAGCATCAATATTAATCAATACAGAAGATGCCCTACGTACTGTTTTGCTAGAAGACTGAAGACATCATTGAGAGTATTCAAAATTCTTCACAAAGTAATGAGCTGCATCAATCCAAATGTGAAAATAATCCTTACAGATATTTGGGAAACAAAGATTGAAATGACTTATTTTTGTTTCTGAATGAGAAACTCCTGGAAAAATCAATGTTTTGCCATTTATTGCATCTTGAAATATGAAATATAATTAGTTTGTATCTCAGACCAACAAAGTTATTAGCCTTTAAAAGCTTGATTCCACAGAATGCTTTTCAGAATAAGGTGAAGTCAAATACAGTTGGTATTAAACTGTAAATTTCAATGGAAGTAGTATAGTACTGGTTCAGCAAAATACCTTGGAACTCTTTCAGTTTTTAAAGCAAATAATATAAAGGTTAATCTAAAGATGTTTGGTCATACTTCAGTGTGGTATCTAAGAATCTTTAATAATACCTTTGTTTTCAGAAAGAACTTTATTTTTTTTAATTCTCCATGTTTGAATTAGGATTCATTACTGTTCTGTTACAGTCTAATGTTCATATTTCTACTACAAACCATGTTTCTATTGACCGTATTTCTCGTATCATACCAAACTGGCTATTGTATTCCCAGTATTCCCCCATCCCATACAAGAATGTAGACTTAAATACAATTAACTAGCCTGCTTGTGCTTTGGATAGGCCTACTACAGGAAGAAATAATGCAGCTGAGGGTTGGCTATCTTAATTGTTTGTTCTACTCCCAAGGACAGGTACTCCATTAAGTAGGTTCTAACATAGCAAAATACACACTATCATTCCTTTAAAAAATTAACTGTATTTGTATTAGGAGTATAATAATCTTTACCCATCAAGTGCAGAAATACTCATGCATTTTGAAAACTACTTGTTTTCGCAGTCTCTAAAGCATATGCATGAACAGTTTCAAGATAATGGGAACATTTTGTTCACAATGGTGTATTAAACCCAATATTATATAAACAAGTCCAACAGTGTTTTTCCACTCAGGGATAGAATCTTCTCCTTTGCGTTCCTCCCAAATCATTTCTAGAAGTTTCCCCTAGTTCTCAAGAACTTTGTGCCTGAGAGGTGCAGAATGGAGAGATTTATTTGACCCTTTTCTAGTTCTATCCATAGAAACTGTTTTTCATACAGAATTGATTTCCCCTCCTCACATTTTACCTGACAATTTACAGAAGTGTGTGACTACTGCCAATCTCTCTTCCTTTGTTAATTTCAGGTAGCTGTAGTATTCAAAAGTCTTTGCAAAGATAGTATTCAGCAGTATATTAGTTTACATTACTTATACCAGGATATTTTGGAAATTGGCTGCCACTAAAAAGAATAATTCTTGCTGGTTTTAATGACATTTTGAAAATATTACAGAATGCATTAGCTGCTTATATTTGAAATAATGATAATTAACCTGCAATGTGTGAGAACTATATGATGAGTCCTTTTTCTTTTTTTCTTTTGATTATTAAGCAAGCCTTTAATTATGAATCTATACATAACAGTTATTAATCTTTATTAAATATATACAAAAAGGAGTATTTGTCATCAAATAATATAGCATTTGTGTGTGTGTGTGTGTGTGTGTGTATCTCTTTACATTGTAAATCTTTATATTCATTTCTATCTTAGAAATGTTATTGTAGTGTAAACTTTAATTTCTATTTTACATTTTTTTTACTTCGTTTCATATCCCTCCAATTATAATTTTTTTCCATATTTCATAGAATTCTGAAGTACCTCGTTCCTTCAGTTCTAACATTAAGCTATCTAGCTCGGCGCAATGTAGATTTTTTATTATTATTATTTCATCATTAGGTATTTCTTTTAATTTCCATGTTTGGGTAATCGATAATCTTGCGGCTGTGATAATATGTATAATTAGATACAGATCTGCTTTTTTTTAGATTCTCATTTGTTATTCCTAGTAAGAACATTCCTGGTGTATAATTTATTTTTAAATTTAACATTTCCTCTATCCATTGCCAATTTTTTTGCCAAAATTCTTGCATTTTCTTGCAGTCCCACCACATAGTAAGTGCCTCATTCTTTTAGGCATTCCCAGCATGTCGGTGATTGGGAACCATTCATTTTAGCTAGTCTGGTGGGTGGGAGGTTCCATCTGTAGAACATATTAAATAGATTATCTTTATAAGATGTGGCTAGAGTGATCTTTTTATTCCTGTCCCAGATTTGCTGCCATTGATCCAGATGTATGTTATAACCAAAATTTCTGGCCCAGGTTAGGATTGGTTCTTTCACCTGCTCCTTATACATCTTATAGTCTAATAGATAGTTATAAAATTTCTTTATTTGTTTCTTTTCTGGTCCTAATAGTATTTTGTCTAGAATTGTATCTTGGCAGTTTATTCCCCATACTTTAAAAAAAAACATTTTATTAAACAAAACAATTAAAAACATTGAACATGGTGAAGTCGCTTTGACATGATTTGGGGTCAATATCGCATATATATATATGTTTTCCTATAAAGAATTCTTCAACTATATACATATATACATTTGTTCATTCATATAATAGATTTCTAACATCATTTATCTTCTTTTCATCTCATCCAATCATATACCCTTTGAACAACTCCTTTCCCAACTTAAGACCTTCCTCTCTGCTCCCACCAATGATAGAATTTATCCCAAATTGCGTAGTATGCCGGTTTATCTTTGTTTTTCATTTCTAGAGTTAACTTGTCCATTTCAGCGCATAGTAAGATTTTGTTTATTTCTTCTTCTTCACTTGGTATAACTGTCTTTTTTCAGTTCTGGGCAAATGTTATCCTTGCTGCAGTAATAATATGTATAATCAAATAAAGCTCATCTTTCTTATATTTTTTGACATAATTCCTAACAGAAAGCATTCTGGTAGGTGATCTACTTTAAGACCCAACATTTCCTCCAGTCACTTCCCCGTCCTAAGCCAATACTCCTGCGCTTTTCTGCAGCACCACCATGCATGGTAATATGTTCCCCATTCTATTGAACGTTTCCAGCTATTTGGGATCTGACTTTTGAACATCTTGGCCAGTCTGACTGGTGGAAGATGCCATTGATAAAACATTTTTAGCCGATTTTCTTTATATGCAGTGGCCATGGTGATCTTTTTATTTCTATCCCATATTATTTGCCATTGATCTAAATTAATGCTGTACCCAAAGTCTCTGGTCCATACCACATAGTCTCCTTTACCTGTTCTTCCTCTAATTTATAGGCTAATAGAAATTTGTAGAGTTTTCCTATCAATTTATCCTCTGATCCTAAGAGAATTTTATCTAAGACTGTTTCTTGCATGTTAATTCCCCATTCTTTTTTATCCTGTTTTTACCTTGCTTGTAGCTGTAAATATTCCCACCATTCTAGATCCATCCCATACTGTTTTAGGTCCTGTCTAGTTTTTAACTCTCTGTCCCCATTTAAGACATCTTTGTAGGTGATAGCTTTCCTTCGTTTCAATAGGTTTGGATATGTTACTGCCTCCAATATTGATATCCAATTTGTCATTTCTAAATATATCTGTTTTCTAGTTTTATTCCAAATCTTAAATAGTGCTTGCCTAATTCTATGTTGTTGAAAATGTCTATGTAAGCCTGGCTTGTCAAGTCCATAGAAATGCGTGCTATCCTTGTTGCAACTCCTTCTGATTATTAAGCAAGCCTTTATGAATCTACACATAACCTTTATTAACCTTTATTAACTACATACAAAAATGAATATTGGTCATCCTTGTTGCAAGTCGTGTCCTTCTAACTGCAGGGTTCTTCTATTTTCTAATAGTATCCAGTATTTAACCCATGTAAGTGAAGCTGCTTGATGATAAATTTCCCAATCTGGGAGGCCAAAACCTCCCCTTTCTGTGGCTTCTTGTAATAATTTAAGTTGAATCCTCGTTTTTTTTTTCCCCTGCCATACAAAATTAGAGGTTGTCTTGTTTAGTTCTTTAAAGAAGTTTTGGTTTATAGGTATGTTTTGGAATAGAAATAACAATTTCGGGAGCACATTCATTTTAATTACCAAAATCCTTCCTGATAATGATAGTCTTAGGTTGCTCCATCTTGCCAAATTGTCTTTAATTTGTTGATATAATTTATCATAATTATCTTCTTTAAATGTGGAGCAACTTGGCGAAATAATAATTCCTAAATATTTAACTTTTTTGACTATCTGTATATCCATTTTTAGTTGGATTCTCTTTTTGCTTCTCTCATATTTTTAGTTAACATTTTCATTTTATCCTTATTAATTTTTAGCCCTGCAACTTTGCCATGTTCTTCTAATAACTCAATAAATTTTGGTCCTGATTTTTCTGGATCCTCCAAAATGAATGCCAAATCATCCACAAATGCTTGTAATTTAAATGCCTCTTTTTTAATCTCTAGGCTTTTTATTAAGATTTCTTTTCTAACAATTATGATCAATACTTCCAGGGTACATATAAAAAGTAATGGTGATAATGGGCAGCTCTGTCTAGTTCCTTTTTGGATCTTAAAATCCTTTTCTACCTCTCCATTAACAATTATTTTAGCCTTCTGTTCCGAATAAATCGTACTAACGATATTGAAGAATTTCTCACCAAAGTCCATATGTTTAATTTGTTGTAAAAGGAATGACCATTTAATGTTGTCGAAGGCCTTTTGTGCATCAAGGAAGAGTAATGCCATTTGTTGACTGCTATGAATCTCATAGTACTCTAAAATGTCCAATATAGTCCTCAAATTCTGTTTTATTTGCCAATTGGATAGGAAGCCATTTTGGTCTTTATGGATAAATTTGCTTAAGATTTTTTTAAGTTTATCTGCTACTATTGTTGCGAAGATCTTGTTCCGATAATCCACATTTAAAAGTGATATAGGTCTATAGTTTTTGATTAGCGTTTGGTCCACTTCTTTCGGTATCAAGATTATAGTTGCCTCCTGCCAGGATTGTGGAGCTTTTGCCTCATCTAGAACTGCATCAAATACATCTAGTAATGATGCTAAGGTATTTTGGTGTTCTTTGCATATTTCCGCTGGGTGGTTGTCCGGGCCTGGTGACTTGT